GCGCGATTCCTAAATAAAATGCGAGGAAGTCTCGGGCGGGAGCGGGGGTCCTGGCTAAGTTGTAAGGAAGTCTCAGGCGGGAGCCGTTGTTGTTGTACTCCTGGGGGCAAGGGGGCCTGTTTGAGCAGGAAGATTTTCTTTGACAGAAAACAAGATGCGAGCCCCAGGGAGGCACTTCAATTGAAAAAACAATGTGCACCGGTGGGGGGGTCAACAATAATCATTCTTCAAGAATGAGAGTTCAACAACAACAACAACAACAACGACAACAACAACAACAACAACAATAACAACAACAACAACAGCAGCAACAACAACAACAACAACAACAACAACAGCAGCAGCAGCAGCAGCAACAACAACAACCACAACCACAACCACAACAACAACAGCAGCAACAACAACTGCAGCAACAACAGCAACAACAACAATACTAACAACGACAACAACACAGTAACAATAACAACAACAATCAACAACCAGCAATAACAACAACAACAGCAACAACAACAACAGCAGCAGCAACAACAACAACAACAACAACAACAACACCACCAACAACAACAACAACAACAACAATTACTAGCACGTGGGGACACTCCGTTCTCACCAGTGCCAGGGTTTTCATACGACGCCCGCCAATACCCCCACTTTGTGGGGGGGCCGGTTCAAGCTCTACCACATTTCCAAACGACTCTTCGCCACCACCCACACCCAGCTTCCCGCCCTATGACGTTCGGACACTTCACTTCGTGGCCTGCGGACGACCGTGGCTACTACACTGGCGCATGGGTACAGTGACTTGTTGTGGTAACATTTTCTGGACGCTAGCTTAGTATACGACTTTTCCCCCTGTTCCAACACTGGACACCTGTACTGGTTTTTGGTGGTAACGTGTTCCTGACGCTAGAATAGAAAACCACGGTAAACCAGTACGACGCCGGTACTGTCTGTAGGTCCTACAATGATATGGACTGCTTTGGCTGGTGAGGCGCTAGCGTCTGATACGACGTTGGCCCTCGCGAAGATTTCGGCGTGCGCGCGCGAAGAAAAAACGAATGTGTCCCGCATGGTATTATTTGACAGGGATGATGGCCCTGGCAGGTGCGCAACCGTTGTTGGAGAAGTTCGAAGCACGTGAAAAAGTTGCTCGCAAAAGCCCGTTTGACAGAAATGTTTAAAAAGTGTTGGGTTTCCTACGAATCCGCAAGAGCGCGCGGGATGAAATTTTGACACTTTTTTTTGAAAAACCATTGGTTTTTTGATGTTTTTATGTTAAAATCGCTACGAACACTAAGGTTTTGGAAGGATTTCGTCTTGCGCGCGCGAATGTCCACTTTACCTTATTTGTTGCAAGGGATTCTTGAAGTTTGGTTATGTTAGAACAAGAAATGTCCACTTTGCCTTATTTTTTGCAAGGGAAAACCACCCGTAACAAAACAACCGGATCCGGACCAACCCGTTTTGCCGGAGACTTCCTCACGAAAATGATGAAAACATGGCTGCGGCCTAGGCGCGGCGAGGGGGCCGCGCACCAGGGGTCCCAACAATAATTATTCTTTAGAAGTAATAATGTTCAACAACAACAACAACAACAACAACAACAACAACAACAACAACAACATCAACAATCATTTTACCCGAACGCGTGGTGTTCTCACCAGTGCCAGGGTTTTCATACGACACCAGGCAATACCCCCACTTCGTGGGGGGGCATTACAAGCTCTACCAAATATCCAAACGACTCTTCGCGACCACCCAAACCCAGCTTCCCGCCCTATGACGTTGGACACTTCACTTCGTGGCGTGCGGACGACCGTGGCTACTACACTGGCGTGGGGTACACACCCACAGAACTTGGTCACTTATTCGGGGCGCGCGTGTGCCCAGCATCCTGCAATTGTGACATACAATACATGACACAGACAGACAGACAGAGAGAGACAGAGAGCAGACAGAGAGAGAGACAGAGAGAGCGGAGTTGGCCACATTTTTGGGGCAAGTTCCTGAGATCGTCGTGTTTTTTGTTGGTCTTGCGCGCGCGAATGTCCACTTCACTTTTTTTTTGCAAGGGATGTTGAAATTTGATTATGTAAGAACAAGAAAAAGTAGCTCGCGCGAGCTTATGTAACATAAATGTTGAAAAACCATTGGTTTTGTGGGAGTCGGACAGCGCGCGCGGGATGAAATTTGGACATTTTTTTTGAAAAACCATTGGCTTTTTGATGTTTTTATGTTGAAATCGTTACGAAACCTAAGGTTCTGGAAGGATTTCGTCTTGCGCGCGCGAATGTCCACTTTACCTTATTTTTTGCAAGGGATTATTGAAATTTGATTATGTTAGAACAAGAAAAAGTAGCTCGCGCGAGCTCATGTAACATAAATGTTGAAAAACCATTGGTTTTGTGGGATTCGGACAGCGCGCGCGGAAGGACATTTTGACAATTTTTTCTTAAAAAACCATTGGGTTTTTGATGTTTTTATGTTAAAATCGTTACGA